CTGTGCCAGGACTGATTCACTGCAGAGGCTTCAGTACACACACATTCTATGTTCTACTGCAGACGTTGGCTTGTCCCTGATCTCGCTGGTGTCGCTGGAGCTGGACCGTGTGTGCTCAGCCATGGCTGTTAAACTGAGGTGGAAGTGTGGGAAGTGTGTCCTTTCTGTGGGTTAGTGACTAATTTCATGAATTCTTTAGAATTATCTGGAAATGACCTGATCACATCTGTACAAACACATGTTTGTTTGGTTTGTTTTTGGCTGAGGCACATAAAGAATTCAGAGCATTTGCTGATTAAAAGACAGGAAGTTTCAAAAGTGAAGCCCACTAATCCAAGTTGTATCTAAGTTTCTAGAGCATTTTATTTTTGTAATTTATCTTTGTGGACATGTTTCAATGTCGACGAAGTCTTGTTTTGGAAATGATACAAAATTGGCCTAAGAAAAGGAATGTCTCTTTCACGACTGTCCCCCAAAACACCACTTGTAACTTGGTTATTTGAGTCAGTGAAGAATTTTTGTAGGTGTGCGGAGTCTTCACCGCTAGTTTCAGGTCTTCTCAGTGGTCACTAAGTCAACAGACCATAAATCATGGTGGTAGATGAATTAGTAATAGTGTTATTGACTGGTTGACCCTCTATGTCATCAATAGAGGGTCAACCAGTCAATAACACAATTTCAACAGAGTCTGTTGAGTCAGAACCTGGGTGAAGAAAAGTGTGATAATGAACCTACTGTATGTGAAAAAGCCATGCTAACATCCAGTCTGTGGTGGATGCTGGAACCAGGACCTTGACCGTGTGGGGATGTTCTCCCATGAGCTCACTCAGACGTTAGATAATACTGTGGAGCTGGCAGCAGGGTCTGTGGAGAATCTTCAGACGGACTTCTGCAGACGCTGCAGTAACAAAAACAGCCCCCGTGGATAAAGCTGAGCGAGGCAGTTAACAGGGACGACCCATAACACTGGGCTGGGCTGTAGGAGAGACCAGATATTATAGAAGTACGTGACAGAAGGTGTGGATTTGTTTGTCGTTCAGTTTGATTTGTATTCTTAAAGATCAATAATCATTTCAGTTTGATCTAACATTGGATCTGCAGTAACAAACATGTCAAGACAGTGGAGCAGTGGTTGGTGCTATTGCCTTACAGCAAGATGACAGTTTGCTGGTTTGATCCCGGTTGTTTAAGGATCTGTGAGCTATAATACAAGTACATATTTATATATATATAATTTATTAGTATGTAAGATAAAATATATGATATTTTATTCTTAACGTCGATGTCATTACTCTTTCTAAACTCAGAGAATACTTTCCACAGTCTTTGTTGGGATATATTCAGTACAGAGTACATCTCACCAGCTCAGGAAGTAATTCAAAGTACTGAAAGTGTACTTTGGCTTCTCCAGCTGACTATTCTACAGCTTCCGTTCCTGGAGAGTATGTTGTCAACATCACAGGTTATTCTCCTGGTGCCGTTTTCAAACTCTGTTTTTGGACAGCAGGCTGTGTGGACGACTTCCTGAACTCAAACACACACGTACGGTTACACATCAGAACCTGTCCATTATGACTGGTTAACCGACAACATGTATTTACACTCGTTCAGTATAAGGTATTGAGTACATCTGGAGTACTGTATACTGTAGTATGTGTTGTATTTGACTGCATATGAAGTAAAATAAGAGTCAGTATGTGGGATCCACCAGAGGGTGATCACTGGGCTGTAGGATCACATGATGGTTGTTGGGTTGTTGTAAGACCCTAGAGGCCAATGCAGGAACTGCAATCGTACATCATAGTGAAAGCCATGTGTTCTGGTGAAAGTCTCGGTGACCTCTAGTACCTTTCAAGTGCTGACACAGAAAACCACAGCACGATAAACAGCTAATGAAGTACTAAACCGTAGAACAGCACGGGAGACTCTTACGAGTCCTACGAGTGTGGATTAGTCCAAAATACACGTTTTTACTTTAACTACAGTACTAAAAAACTTTCCATGTGACCATCCTGGGGTCGGTCTACAGCCTCTTAACTCGGTACACGAAGATACTGCGAATTTCCATTAGGACATGAACATGTGCTGTCGCTTCTTCCCTCGATGGAAACAACGCTGTTTCCTTTATTTCCATGTTTGAAAGCTGTTGTGAACTCACTCCAAATAAACATTTTACAACTGTCTGGTCTTTCTCTCAAATTAGAAGTGGACTGGGCTTGGTTCGGTCCGGTTCGTGTACTGTAGAGTGTCCTGTCATCAGACTTCATTACTGTCTCTCTCTCTCTCTCTCCCTCTCTCTCTCAGTCATTCCTTCATCCCCACAATGAGGTTCTTGTGTGCTACTGTCTGAGAGAAGCCGCAGAAATGCCTTGGCGCAGGAGCCGGAGACGTCATGGATTCCTGAGTGTGGGGCTTTGCAGGAAAGCCCTGAGTCTCCGACATGGAGCGGCTCCAGGTTTCCATGGCAAAGGCGCACAAACAGGAGGAAACACTGAGGGAATCCCGTTATTTTACAGCGTTGGACCATTATAAACACCCAGAGCGGGGAAGGAAGCCGCTCTTGATGCTTCAAGTAATCCTTATAGAGCTGTAGGAAGGAGGACCTCATACCAGAGGAGAACAGAGAGAGCTGGAGCTGGAGCTGGAGCTGGAGCTGGAGCTGGAACTGGAGCTGGAGCTGGAGCTGGACAAGCTGCGACTCTTTCAGCAGAACAGGCGCAGCAGCCGCGGCTACAACCTCCGTCTAGGTCCCCGCTGCCCTTTTTTTATTATTATTTATTAATTTATTTTTTAAAATCTTTTTCAGACAGTTTTTTTTTTGATGGACATGGTTGAGAGAGGAGACTAATTTTTTTTTTTAGTTTTTTTTACATTTTTGCATTCTTTTTCTCCACTCTTCCCTTTTTCTCCAGATGTTCAGGGAAACTTGGAGGTTGGCACAGTACCACACCATGAGGTCGATGGATCAAGGTACTGCTGAAGTGTTGTGATTATCTGGTAATCAACCCATTTGATCTCTACTGTAACAGCATGAGCCGTGTTAGTGTTAATGTGACAGAACCGGACCGGACCGATGTGGTCCGGTCCGACAGGGAGAGACATTTGAAGATTTTTAAATTCAATGAAGCAGAGAGTAAGTTTGATTATTATTATTATATCTGGGTTCATAGTTAAATTAAATGCTAATGTAGATAGAATTTAAGAAAAAAACGGGAAAAAAAACAACCAACGCCAGGGAGTTAAGGTCATTTTTAAGTTATGTCATTTTTGACACGTGACATATTTTCTTATAAAAAGTCGATTGTAAAAATAATCTTGGTTTTCCCGCAGATGTTACACAACCAACAGATGTTGTTTTCTAGTCTTTCGCCAAGAGATTCCGTTCCGTCTGCGTAACGTCCGTTGACACCGGATCGTGTTAAAAATGTCTTTAATTCACACCGGGACAGAGTGTGTTGTGAATGGCTGTACATCCGTGGTGTAGTGCTGACAGAGCACGGCGGGTGTCAGGCTTCAACCGAGGAGGAACACCCTGGTGTGTACGCACTGCCTCGTGCGTAAATACGGGGGATTCCCTCCGCTGGAGCTGGGTTTCTCTGGCGACTATAAACAGACCATCAAGTCCGTTTGTCTGTATCCACATGTGGCCTGCAGGCGGTAGGAGAAGGAGGGCTGGGAGAGACAGAGACAGAGACAGAGACAGAGACAGAGAGAGCTAAAATACTGCTGCTGCTGCTCCGTGGTAGATGTTCCAGATCAGCTGCACCCTGCTGTGTCACTGCAGCGTGTCCAACACCCGGGGGCAGCATTAGGCTGCAGTCACGGTTGCAGCGGTGGCTTCTGACGACGATCAAGTTGCGTCACCGTTGGCTTTGTTTTCGTCACCTGGACATAAAGTTAGTTTCCTGTTGAAAGTGTTAACAGTGGTAAATAGATAACAATGATTTTACAGTAATATTTCTGTATATATTTATAAAGTTCAGAGTCGACACACCATTATTACAGAGCAACAGTAGTTTAAGTATGACCAAATATACGCCATTTTAGTAATAATGATATATATTTATATATATATTTATATATACGTATAAGAGTTGGACACATCAATGCATTGATATGTGTTACTATCATACTGTAGTCAATATATTTAGTAGTAGTATGCTTCAGTCATGTGTAAATATATATATATTTATACACATATATACTGTATATCGCCCACACCCACCTGTTCCTCTTGTTGTCTCTCACAGACAGCGTCACCTCTGCACTGACAGGCGCGATCGCACTCAAAACACAGTTGCGCGTTCACTCCGAAAATTGACCCGCCTTCATGTGCAACCGAAGTGAACCAGGAAACAGACAGACAGTCACCCATGTATCACTTGACACTTGTGCAGCTTTTCCAAATTCACTGCAGCAGCAGCAGCAGCAGCCAGTAAGACAGGGATCCAGCCCCCCTCCACACAACATTAGACAGATGACATCTTTTTACGACGACAAAGAGTTAGAGGCAGAGCTGAGTGAAGTCACCTACCCTGATGAGGACCTGGAGTTTGACTACTTGTTTGAGTATGAACCACCTTGCAGCGACTTTGCTGCGGGAGACCAAGGTTTGTCCGAGGCTTTTGTTTTGGTTCTTGACGCCCTCTCTTCTGTCTGCTCCGCGTGTCTCTCTGTTGTGTCCTAGCCGTGGACAACTGACTCTGTGTGGGGGGTTATTGTGTATTTAGGTAAAATTCAGAAATACAGGAAGTGAATTAAGACGGCGACTTGAAGTGTCTGTGACAAAAGCCACGTGAGAATGTTGTCAACACGAGGTGAAGGGTTGATGGTCAGGGGGTTTGTGGGATTGATCTGATCTTTGTTTACTTATTGGTGCACATCAAGATCAGAATTTGTCAAGTCTTGGGGTTTTTTTGTGTGATTTTCTGCAGGTGTTAAACCACATGTGCATGTTTGTATAAGTGTGTAATGGTTTAGGTTTGTTGTTAGGTGTGAAAAAAAAATACAATTCTTTGCAGAAAGTAGAACCAAATGGAACCAAACCTTTCAGTTGTTTGATAGAAATGCAGTCAGTTGCAGGTCACAAAGTGGGGAAGTGGTTGGAGCTTTTGCCTTACAGTCGAGAGATCATTTACATGTTCTCACTGTATGTACGTGAGTTTTCTCTCTTTCCTCTTTCTGAGGTTTACTCCCGCAACCTTAAAAAGGTGCAGAGTTAGGTCAAATGTTGGTGTGAAATTGACTGTTGGTGTGAATTTGAGTGTGAATTACTGAGATTAAATTCAACATTTTAATTTCTTAATAACTAGAAAATTAATTATATATTTCTGGACTTGGTACATTTACACCAATACACACAGAACAAAAATTTGTCATTGGTATTTAAACCATCTGTGGCGAGCAGCGGGTGCTTTCAGGAGCGCCCGGGGAGCGAGGGAATTTTTGCTGCTTCCTCGACACACCACAGTCAGCCAGGGTGGGATTCCAATAACAAGCCTGAGTCTCAGCTTTGTGCTTAATATCGTGCTTCGGTGTAATATGGTGTAATAGTCAAGTTGACTTTGTTGCCAAGACAAGATTCATTCATTTTTATGAGTCAGAATTTTTTGTAAAAACATGACAAACTTAAAAATGTTACATTTTTGTAAATGATTATTTAAACTCTGACAAGAAGGAATTCTCTGAGTGTGTTTAGACTTTAATATGTGGACTAATATGTTCTTATTATTTACCTGGAGAAAAAAAAATTTTAATCCATCTTGGATTTTTTTCTTCACCTTGTTTTGTTGGAGTAATAGAATGTAGTTAGAGTTCTGACAACATTTTTCAAGTTTGTTAAAAAAAAAAAAAAATGGTTTGTTTACAGATGACCCCAATCTTGCACCTCACAAAGTCCTCGGTCCTGAGTCTGAGCAGGCCTTCCCTCTGGAGCAGGCCTCGTCTTTTGGCATCAAGTCCTGCAGACCGTCCTACGGTGAACACAACACTGAGGTTCAGTCAGGATATGAGCACCAGGAGGCTCGGCACTACCTGGACAGCACCCGCCCCGCAGGCCTGGCTCTGAGCCCGCGGATTGAGATCACACCGTCCCGTGAGCACTACAACCATGTTCGGGACTCCCTGCAGAACCAGCACCTAAACATCAGCCCCAGACCCACGCTCACCGTCCCAGGCCATGACAACCTTGCCTACCGTGAGCCCCAGTGCCTGAGTCCAGCCAGTAGCAACTCCTCCACCAGCTGGCACTCAGAGAGCTACTCCCCCTGGGCTTCTCCCTGTGTCTCCCCCAGCAGTGTTCAAAACCCAGGAGACCTCTGCCCCCGCTTGCAGAACATTCACACTGGCTCCCCACGCACCTCCCCAGGTACATCTCCACACACCAGCCTGGCTGAGGACGGCCTGGGTCGCCGCTCACCTTCTTCCAGACCGGGCTCCCGCTCCACCTCCCCACAGGGAAAACGTACCTACGACATGTACAGGAATCCGACTCTGGCCCCTGGGCACCGCTCACGCAGTCCCTCGCCCCACGGTGGCCAGGAGGAGCACAACTTAAATGCCCACTATACACACAGCACCCTGACTGATGCCATGAACGGCTTTGGCACGGTGCAGCCAGGCCTGGTGCCCACCAAAATAGTCAAGACGTCCAACCAGCTTTACACTCTGTACCCGGAGAACCACGGTGACGGCAATTACTTGGTTCCCAGTGAACAGGACATGAAAACCAAACCAGCAGCAGAACCTTTCTTTGTTATCCCCCAGATCTGGTCCAAGCCACTGGTTTCCAGCATCTGCAGGTAAATGGAGCAGAAAGCTGCAGTTTTTAGTTTACTTTTTTACTGTCAGTGTTTGATTCATTCTCATGTTCTGTACCCTTTCCTCTTTTTTTTTTCTGGTTCTGTAGCATCCCTGTGGCTTCTCTGCCTCCTCTGGAGTGGCCCATTCCAAGTCGAACAGATCAGTATGAGCTCAACATTGAAGTGCAGCCTAAGCCTCACCACAGAGCCCACTACGAGACAGAAGGAAGCAGGGGGGCAGTTAAAGCCCCGACAGGAGGACACCCTGTAATACAGGTAACCTCAGACACACACACTCTGCTGAGCCAAGCGTCGCGTCCACTGAGTCGTAAAGACTAAAAATATTCAAGAATTCTTGTTGACATATGTCCTACCCCCTGTAGGGGGTGCTGTGGAGCAGAGTTAGTGCTAAGTCGAGTGTACAGCTAACTGAATCTAACCGTCTCACTCATTCAAAACACATTCTACAAAAACAAGATGAATATTTAGGTTGTGGTGACGACATGGAAGAGAGGCTAAACACAGCAAACGCTTCTGTGAAACTGTACGTGTTTGTCAAAACATTAACATTAAACCCAGTCTGGATGGCATAACATAATCTTTATAGTTTTCCTGAAGTAAAAATGTTTTATTGAGTGATTTATTATTTACAATAGTCTCCTCTGAGGTTTGACTAACCAAAGCTAACTATGTTAACCAACCCAGATGGGTGAAATGCCAGCTTCACATCGTTTCACTTGCTTTACTGCCACCTTCTGGTTGCTCTTTTTCGACAAGCTAAAATTTCCACTTGGAGGTATTCCAATTTCTTACATAAAAAAAGGAAGAATACAAACAAAAAACATGAAACAAAGATAGCAGTGTCACTGCTAATGAACAAAACCACCCTATTCATAAACTGCTAATGAACAAAACCACCCTATTCTTAAGTTTCTTCTTCTTTTTATTCTTAAGTAGTATTTTTATTTACTTTTAAGTCCCCAATACCATACTTTTAAATTAGTTAATTTTATTTTGCTGGTACCTAGATGTGATCTGTCATCAGACGTTAACTGAAGTATCCATTCGACTCTAAGGGAAAGGCTCACTTTTTTTTCCTTTTTCTTACTCAGACACTCAGCAGTGGTGTTTTTACTGCCCTTGCTCAGCAGCAGTGACTCTGTGTGAGTTCCTCTACTTTCCCTTTTTACACAAAACCAATCATGGCCGCCCCAGACTTATGATGCGGTATGAGTTCAAAATTGAACTCAGGTCAGTGAGCAACACAGACTTTCACTACCGCTGCTGCTGCTGCTGCTGCTGCTGCTGCTGCTGCTGCTGCTGCTGCTGCTGCTGTTGCTGTTGTTCACCCTGACCACAAAGCAGATCTGTGTTCATGTCGTCCCCGACTTCCTCTTACACACTGCTTTGGTGAGTGTGTGGAGCTGACTTCAAGCCCCTCTCAGCTGGCAGGCTAGGAAGTAAAAGTGTGTCAGGAAGCTTCACCTGGGTTGTCTGTTGGACAAAGTCAAAACTTTATTTATAGTCTTGGCCAGACAAACTCTTTCTCCAGCTGTGAGCTATCCTTCGGTTTGTTTCTCAAGGGAAAATTCTTTTGATTTGAGAGACAGAGAGACAACATCAAGCCGTGTCCACATCGAGCAACGATAAACTGAAAGTTGCCATTTTAGACCTAATCAGTCGCACGGGAGCTGTGGGTTAATTGAGTCAAATGAACGTTCCTAGAAATGAAACCGAAAGACAAACAACAGCAGGTAGATGTACGTGTTTCACAGAAGTTTTTATTTGAGACTAATCCAAACGCCAGAATTATTGATATGGGAAAAATGTGTCATCTTAATTAAATTAAATAATAAATATTCCCAGGGCGCAATTAGGTTGTAAACGAGGTCATGGACGACACGTATTAACCGACCGAAACTGTTTGAATTTCTTCATACCTCCCAATGGATACTACTGAGATATTGATTTAATAAGCTCCTAATAACAGCCTTATCAACAGGCGTGTGCTGTGACGCACAGACGCAGGTGTTCAGTGTAAGTGAAAAACCACCCTCACACAACACATCTGTAATGCCCTGAGGCTTTACTGGTGCAGAAACACTAGTCCGGCTCAGTGTTTCCTGATGTTGGGTTGGCTCAATACGTGGATCGCAGCGGTGGATAAGGACATGAAATGAGTTTTGAGCAGGAACTTGCAGCAGTTCCCTTGACTTGGAAACGTTTTCATGTCGTTTTGACAGTAACCTGGATTCTGACTCTAAACCTCGGTGAATTACCTCACACTACATTCAGGGAACTGAGCATAGAATTCATTTCACTGACTTTGATAGGAACTTGACTCAAACTCTATTTGGGTTTTTATGTCGTAGCTTGGAATCTGACACAGAACCTAGTGAAGACTCAACCCAGATTTGACCCAGAATTGTCTTAGAATTCCCGAAAACCTACGACTCCAGCTGCAATCGTTTTTTTAATTTGCTAGATCTGGACTTATTATATTAAATTTATTTGATATTTGATTTTTTCCACCAGTCCATACCAGATGTAAGGCTCGATCGTTCACCTCTGGTTTGATTAATGTTAGAGAAGAAGAAGAAAAAGGCTAGAGCTAATATTGCTAAAAATCAAATTCAAACAGAAAACAAACACACACAGAGTTCAGAGACCAATGATCCAGGAGGACATTCACCTCAAATCCCCGGTCACCGTGGCAACACTGCCAGAGCTGTTTATGTTAGAGATATTATAAAATCATTGGAATTAAAACCTTCACAGGTTTCTTTTCCATTTACTGCCCATCCCCAGAAGTCCTGGCCCTGAGGTCAGTTTGCCCCGCGCTGCCAGACCAATCAGATGGTCAGGGCTCACCAGCCACGAGTCACGAGTGCACTCCCTCACCTCATCTTCCTCTCCTCTCCCCTCCTCCCTCCCCCTCCTCCCTGTGTTTTTCCTCGCTCCTTTCCTCGACACTACATACACTCTGTTACTGTCCCAGCTATGCCGCGCTCCACTTTATTTTTCCTACGCCGCTCTCTGTCATGACTCACTGCCCCTGCCTCTGCCATGACAACCGGCCGAGGGCTCACGTGGCTCGCAGAGTGTTTGCAGTGGACTCCGTCCGTCCGTCCGTCCGTCCGTCTGTCTCAGCCCGTGTGTCAGATACCTGGAACTGGACCCTACACACTCATTCATGTTACCATAGTGTCTGCGTGAAAACCAGCAGCAGCTGTGAGCTCTGACGGTTGCAGCCACACCAAATCTTGCTTTCTTGCTGTGCCCGGGGGTTTCTCTTTCAAAATCTGGAATGTTGGCGGTTCGATACCCAGCCCCTCCAGTCCACATGCCAACAGGCAAAACACTTTTACCACCGGCTGCTCTCGGAATGAAATGAAGCCGAACGTGAAGGTTTATGCAAATGTGTGATCATAAAAAAAGAACTCTGCAGCACGTGAAGTATGAAGACCTAACATGATTTTTTTTATTGGTCGGCACAAAAAAAAAAATGCACACACACACACACACACACTGAATCTCTCTTTTGGAGGACGGCCTTTTTGCAGTGATGCCGGTGCTTTACCGTTGTGCACACGGTTCATTGTGTAACAAAGGTTATGCACCTGAGTCTGTGACTACAGCAGCGTTTGTGTAGATGCAGCTTGATGCCTTGTGGTTTTTGCAGGTTTCCTTCGGAGTTACTCTCAGGTGGAAAGTGACATCTCTAACCGCTTCATCCTCTTTATCAGTTCCTATTTTTGTTCTTAACTTTTTTGGTTTCTGAAGCAGGGCGGTTGAGGAGGTGTTAACATTAAATGTATTTTTAGTGAGTCATTGATTTCTAATATTTGCAGTATCCAGTTTTAGTTTAAGTCTGTACGGTGTCAGCCGTGTGCCGGCTTCCGTTTAAGGCTGTTTATACATGTGGAACTCATACAGTTTCGCAACCACTGGGGGGAAAAAACCACATCTGGAAATGTAGAGGCTGAGCACAAGGCTATGAAACAGCACAACCAGAATTGAATCTTCTCCCTTTTACCTGCTCCTTTACAGTGTCTTATTCTATTAAAAATATTTTTAAAAATTTAAGTGAAAGTAAAATATAATTTCCTGTTCGTTGACAGTTACATGGATACAGAGGCAAGGAGCCGCTGGGGCTGCAGATCTTCATAGGTACCGCAGACGAGCGCATCCTCAAACCTCACGCCTTCTACCAAGTTCACCGCATCACCGGCAAGACGGTCACCACCACCAGCTACGAGAAGATCGTCAATGGCACCAAAGTCCTTGAGATCCCGCTGGAGCCAAAGAACAACATGAAAGCAATGTGAGGACAGTCACAGACAACAAACAACAACCATGAAAGCAATGTGAGGACAGTCACAGCTGTTATTAAAAAAACACAAAAAAACTTAATGTTGTTCTTTCATCACTGAGTTTCCATATTTGTGTTTCATTAGAATCGACTGCGCCGGGATCCTCAAGCTCAGAAATGCGGACATCGAGCTGAGGAAGGGTGAGACGGACGTGGGCCGGAAAAACACCCGGGTTCGCCTTGTGTTCCGTGTCCACATACCTCAGCCTGGTGGACAGCACATCTCTCTCCAAGCAGCTTCCAATCCCATTGAGTGCTGTAAGGAACGTCCATCCATTATCTACTGCTTATTCCTTCGCTCAGGGTCTGGGGGGGGTGTTGTAAATCCTGTACAGTCCGACAGTCCATTCACGCTCACATTCACGCCTAGGGTCATTTTAGAGCAGTGGTTTTCAAGCTTGGGGTCGTGAACCCACCTAGGGTCCCATCTAATTTTGAATGGGGTCGTCGGAAATTCAATTTTAAAAAATTACTACTAAAAATGTTTTTTCAACTAATCATTATTCTTTTTTAAAATGATGATGTGAAACACCACACACAACTGCGATCACTTTCATGACGATAGACTGAGATCGTGTGATTGCACAGCTGCAAAAATGTCTCTGGGGTCGCCAGAAATTTGTGATGTCAAAATAGGACCACAGGCCAAAAAATGGTCAGGAACCACGGTTTTAGAGTCTATGATCAACCTGATTCTTTAAAGTCCATGCTTTTAGAGAAGACCAGAGAACTCACACACAGTAAAACATAGAGTTGGTCCACGATAAACACATTTTACACATTTCCTTTTTTTTTTAAATACAGTGGCTGATTTGTGAAGCCTGTTTTTCTGCCTGATATAGTTACAAACAAGACTTTATACAGAATAAACACGATTTCAAAAAAAGGGAACCTGCATTCAAATCAGTTAGGAGCCGTGTTGATAGTCCGGACGCCGGGGCACAAAGACATCTCTATGCAAACAGGGCGTCTGTCCACTGGGTGGGTCGGGCCTGTGTCAGTGTCAGTGTCTGTTTACCTGTCTGTGTGCGTGCGGTAGTAAAGTCTGTTTGTGAACATCAGTGCCTGTGTACACAGTGTTATTAAAGCACCTGGTGTAATCACGGCTCAAACAAGAAGCTGTCTTTATCTGGCTTCAACCAACACAAAATATGTCATCAGTCATATTCACCGAGCAGCTACAGACAGAGAGACAGACAGACAGACAGGCAGAGAGACAGACAGACAGACAGACAGACAGA